GATGCTGGTTTTTTAATCAGAGATATCTACAAGTTATTAGTGAAATAAACTTAGTAAAGTATTGGCTAATACTAAGAAAAAGAACATTTTGGTTCTAAAATCTTTGCAAAGAAAGCATATGCATACATAAATAAACCTCTTAAACTGTTGTTGATAAATTGTTCTGTTGAAGATTGCTATTATGTGGGGTTTTTTTTAGGGATTTGAGAACTGAAGTAGAATACATTCTATTAAAGGACTTAAAAGCTAAATAACTGAAACTGTGCCTCTACTTACCAGCCCTAACTTGATTTTAAAGTTTTATGATTTTGCTGGTAATTAAAGGATTAAAATTGGAACATGTATCTCCCACCACCACTGATGACAGAAGCAGCTGCTGTGCTAGAGAAAGTAAGTTCTTGTCTATTTTTTTATGTGATTATTTCTGCAGTTTATCCTCCCCACTTCTCATGGGCAGGAGTTTGGAGATTCTCCCATCCAAGAATGGGTGGATTTTTCAGGGATAGATTCAGGAAGTTTGAAGTGTTATTTTTGAGGATCCAGTTAGTGCTTTTAGACTCCACAGTGTTCTTTGGTAGGAATCCCACACCGTGCTTGTGCTCAAGGTAGAAGTTGCTTTTTTTGGTTTGTTTTAAGCCTGGTGCTTGCTGGCTTCCTTAGGAACCCTGAAGTGGTTGCACTGTGACAAATGAGCAGTATTTTCTTCCTCTTGGATATTATAGACCCTTATTCATGGTCCAGTCTGCTGTCAGACAAGCATTAGCTCAGAATCCAGCATTTCTGTGATGCTTGGCTAGAGAAAAGCTCCACATATCTTCAGGGAGATGGGGCTATGATGAGCCTGTGATGCCCAAGTTTCACAGCCCCTGGGGGAAGAAACCAGCAGCTGTGTGTGGGGATTTACTTTGGGAAACTTGGGAACTTACTGCCATTTTTCTAAGCAAAATACATAGCTATGGAAAAGACAAGTTTAGGGAAACAGGCCTAAACTAACACACTGAATATGAGCATACTGACAGGTTTTGTGTTGGTTTGTAATGACAGTAAAAGCTGTGTTTTTCAATGGTGGATGTTGCCTTTCTTTGATTTCCTTTTCATTACTTGTTTTTGGTTGTGAACAGTAAAAAACCCACTAAACCTAATAAAAAAATAGAGGAAGGAGTCACTGTTTGTGAGGTTCTTGAAGGTCAAGGGAAAGCAACTTCTCATGATTTAGTGGGTGGAAAGCCTGGGTAGGAACTGATATACTGCACTCCCTGAGAAATGATGGAGAACAAAGAAAGCCTTGGAAGGAGGAGCTGTGAGCACACGTGTGTGCACTCGTGTGTCTGCAGAGCAAACCTCTGAGCTCCAGGGTGCTTCGTTTATTTGCAAACACTGCTCATTAGGAGAGCCTCCTGAAATGCTCATCTCATCTTCTTGGGGATCTCCACCCTGCTTGTAAAGTGGAAATTGATGCATAAGGCTGTAAAATGAGGAAATAAATTTCTTTGCAAAACAAAGCCTAGCCAGGGTGCCTCACTGCAAAACATGCTTCTGGCACAATCACAAGGACTGTAGTCACCAGGAGTATGGACAACTTGTTAGGAAATAGAAGGAATCTTGAAGTGCTAGGATGCAGTGGTATGTAACTTTTGTTTAATAAGCAGTTAAAGTGTAACAATTATGATTTTCCTATAGAAAAATAAGTCTTAAATTCTGCATGTTCTGTCACTTGATAGATCAATGGTCAAAGTAAATTTAAGTTTCAGGGATGCACATATTAACACATATATGTTCAGCTGTGCTCAAGCTAAAAACTTGTATGTTAATCTTTGCTGTATTGTAGCAATGGAGAATTGTTGTTGTGAGTTCCATGAGAAAGATAAATGAACTTTAGGACTTGATTTTACTGATCCAAACATCTGGGTAGAGTGATCAATCACCAGATTTCATCACCACATTTCTGTTTTTAAAGTATAATTGCCAAACTCACTTTTACAATGATTGCATGCTGGGCAGTTTTGCCTTGCAAAATTAAGACTATCCTCATCCCTTAGGATAGGCAAGCACTTACAACACTTTATAAAGCTGTGCCATGAAATACTGCCAAACATCAAAATTTGGCCCCAAATTTTTGTCTTGCAAGGGAAACTGCATTCAAGTATAATTTTGATACCTATGCAAGAAAAATTTCAGCAAATATCCTTGGATTTTCTGAGTGTGAATCCCATTATTCCATGAGGTAGGCTATTGCACTGGTGTGTTTATATGAAAACATGCAGTTATTCTTTCACAAGGATGCTTACTATATATTTTTTGGTGATTTCTTTCTGAAACAATCTCAGCAATTGTGAATATCTGGGCTGAAGTTTTCTTCGTGTAACAGCTGTATTTTGCAGTACTACAGACTGGCTCCAGGGAAACCACTGTGGTCTCTTCATTCCCAAGGCTTTAAAGCTCGATTGACATGATAGACCATAATGATTTGGAATGAGGATTATGGTCTGTCACTAAATAGCATGGTATTATGCATGTACCATAATACAGTTACTATGATTTTTTAAGACATATTCCTGGAAACCTCAGTCATTTGTGTAATAATAACTCACCCCATCATAATTCATGTGTAAAAAGAGTAGGATGATGCTTTGGGAATGAAAATAGGAATTGCACTGGTGCAGGTTGGAGATACAGAACATCAGGAAGCAGAGACTGCACCAATCTCAGTGGTGCCCCATGAATTTTATTCTGAGCCTACCTCTGTGTTCTTAACAGCACATTTCTGTAGCTCCCCAGAAATTCAGGTTATGTATAAATAAGGGCAAGGTGCATGTGAAAATGAATTGCCAGAGCTTCTTTTCTGCTCAACTCTCCTTCACCCTCAAGAAAAAGGTCACTAAAGTAATTTTAATCTTGTCTTACTCATAGTTCTATTGCTTTTCTTTGTCTTTTATGTTTTCACTGAACATAAGAAGAAACTTAATTCCAGGTGATTTTTTTCCAAATTTCCACTTAGAGAAGTCAGAAACAAACTGTATGTGGCAGATGGTGGCTTCATAAGTTTTAACCACAGCAGAGGGAAGGTTAAGATTCTTAGAACAAGCAGACACTCTAGGGCATTGTGTTTCAGTTGTTACATCCATGAACATGGCTGATATATTTTTGAGATCTCATGGCTCATTGACACTTGTAGTTTTCTGATTTTAATTTTTAAGGGTGCTTTCCTCCATAAGATGGGAAATGTCTGTTGATGTACCACAGGGGTGTTTTACAGAGAGGGTATAAATTGAAGAGATGTTAGGAAAAAGGAAGCTTCAGCCATTCTTTTCTCTGCTCAAAGCTAGAATGAACAGGAGGTCTGACTTGTTTAGGGGGAAAAAAATAAGGAAGGAGAATCCAAAATAGAAAATTATTGTAGTTGTGAATGAAAGATTTTGACTGGAGCCGTAATCAGAAGGCAAATTTACTGCCAAGTACTAGCAAAGGAACCTTTTCTACTTTCTTAACTGCACTGGCTCTTACTTCCTTCTATGGTCAGAAAGAAACAGTGTTTGCAGAGTCTTGGTGCTGAGTTTCCATAACCAGAAAAAAAAATAAAATTGTTTCAACCTACATAAATTATCGTGTAGGAAGAAACAAATCTAGAAAATAGGACATGATGTGTAAATGAGAGCTCAGCATTTAAGTGTGCCTTGTTTGCAACCCTCTGCCCAGCACTGGGTGAAAGTATGGCTGTTTCTGCCCTCAGTAGAGATCTGTATAAAAAAGAGGCCAACCTCACATTTCAGCTCTTAACAGGCTCTTAGACATGCAAACAGTGTTAAGGACTAGAAAGCTAAACTCACTGCACTTGGCTACAGTTCAGCAAGAGAGAATGGTACTCCACGTGATTTATGTGACATTGTGTGTGGTAAGTGTGTTAATGTATTCTTTCACTCCATATTGCCTGGCTAGACTTCCCTTGTTCTGACCATGTGCTCTTCTCTGACAGATCAGGAAAGTCATAATAAGCAACTGCTCCTTTTCTACAAACACTCTTGCATTTGGAGCCTTGCAAGATCAATCTTCCCTCTATTCCTCTTCCCACGGAACAATGCAATGCAAGAGACTGAGACAGTCAGGAATTGTGGCCCATTTTAAAGATGATGAAACGTAGTGTGCAATGTTCATCCTCTTTGATAGAAAATTCTTATTTGCTTTCCACAGTGGAATATGGATATAAAACAAAAGCTAGTGCTGTGTTAGGCTAAGTTGTTTTTCTGTGGAGAAGCAGCTAATGGAAGCAGAGAAGTGTAAAAAAACCCAGAAAATCAGGACAGCTGAGCTTTCAGCCACACAGCCATAGTCAATGCAATCAACAGAAAAGGACAAGGCTGCAAAGAATGACAATCTTTGCTAAACTGATCATACTCTGAATGATACTTCATATGGTGATGGCTGGGCCTTGGGTTAAGTATTATGGATTTAAGCTTGATCCCCTATGATAGATTGTGGCATTAAAGCCACAATCAAGATAACTGAAGTTATCTTGAAATGTTTGGTGGTGACTAAATTGTGCTTAACCTGAAACCAGAGCTGCTGTGCAGTGACAGCTTACTGCCGTAGGATCAGCACAGACAAAAGTAAAGTTGCAGTACACTAACTCAGTGCAATCAGTCAGACTGATCAAACTATTGATAAATATGCACCCATTCTTCTATATCCATGGAAATCTGCTCACATGTGGGTGTTATCTCCTCCCCAAAGCCCCAGTGCCCCATCTTATTTATCATTTGATGCTGCCAGTGTAAGGTGCCTTTGTGAGATGGAGGCAGTGCTTTCTTGCCTGTAATCACCACATTAAAAATACATTGTGAGGACACATGTTCCATTTTGGAACAGCAAAGGTGAACTCATCAAGGCCTGTGGGTCACAGTTGCTGTGTCTTTGGGCTTACATTCATCGCCTGGAGAGAACTCTGTGGGCAGGTTTCTTCTCAGTATGAAAGTCTGTAGACTTTGGTGTGTGTTTGTAAGTGAAGTGTCCAACTACTATTATAGGAGACTGAAAGCAGGAGTTGCTGCTTCTAAGGGTTCTAAGCATACCTGAGATGTCCAGGGTACTCTTGTTGTATGGCTGGTGCTCTGGACAGACACTTAGCTGTTCATCAGCCCTGTGTGGATGTCTCAGACACTCTGGACAACTCCAGTGGCACCAGACACTTCTGCTTGGTCAACTGAATCACCAACAGACTCAACTCTGCTGTTAAACTTCCAGGCACCATTCAGCTATCAGTAGCCGTCTCTCACTGCTAGGGTGAGCTGTTCTCTAAACCAACTCAGTTGTTTCAGGCATTCAGTATCATTTAACATGACCTCAGGCATCCTGAATTTTTCTGGCTCTATCTGTTGCTCCCAGCAAGTGTGGGTCTCCTATAAACTTTGTGTTGTCTCTCCAAGCCCACGTGGGCCCAGATATAGGTGCCTTTGATGGCAGAAACCCCCAGTGTTTAGGCAACTGAACTGATGACTGTTTCTATCTGTAATGGAATTGCTGGCTTACAATTAGATATCAGATATCAGATATGTGGGGTCATATTCTTGAACTGCAAATTGCCCAGAGGGTCAATTTTTGATTCTCATTCTCCTAAAATATGCTGTTTTACAATCTGAGCCACATGTTAATCTGTAGATTGGTCCTGATAGGTCTGCAAAAGATGACTTAGTAAAACACGTATATGTACGCTAGAAAGCTGAGCAGGCAGGGGAAATTTTGAAATTCTCTGCATCAACAGTGGAGATTCAGTAGGGCTTCACACGTTGAAGTGCTTACAAAACTCGTATAGAAATTTCAGACACCAGTGTGAGTGGGTGTGCCTGCTGTAGCTTTTCCCTTGACAAACTTTTGAAGACAGGTTTTGGCAGCATGGAACTGTTTTGCTAGGCTTAATTAACCACAAATAGTTATAAATCATAGCATAAGAAACACCATACTCTTTAGACCAATGGTCATTCTAGTCTAGTATTTGATCTCCAGCAGTGGCAAAGAAGATGATTTATTGGGAGACTATTTAAGTCTAATCCTTTAAATATTAATATTATATTGATATTTAATAATAAAGGTTCACTTTATGGACTTGATTTCTATAAATTTGTCTATTGCCTTTGTGAAGTTTACATATTACAGTCTGTGTACCAAAATGGCTGAAAGCCATTAACACACACTAGTCAGCTGACACCTTAACAATCATGTGTGTGTTATTTAAGTATTTAAAATTCTTATTTCAAGCGTGCCTTCTGACCTCTAGATGGTCACAGACCTAGGGTGCCAGGCTCTATAAGAAGCTGGACTGCCCATGAGTTATCTGTTGTGCAAGGGTTTGCTGTTTTTCATGTTCCAGGAAAAGAATTTAAAAAGAAAACATTCAAAGGGAGTGTTATCTTTGTGATTTGAATTATTTTTTTTCCCATTGATAAAAGGAAAAAAAACCATGAATGCTTTTATTTTAAAAATATTTGAGTGGAACCTTTGTTAATGTTGTGAAGCAGTGAAGCAGTGGTAACTCTGAGTCACAAAGCACTTAGTTGAGATATACACTTGCAGTTTGTATCAAGCCCCTCCTTCTGTTTTAATTTTTGTCTGTACCCATTTTTCATGTTGACTTGACAGGGTCAGGATGTAGTCTTAGAAATGGAGCATTTATCTTGCAGTGATAAAGTTTATGCCTTTAATGTTACCTTTCAAATGTAAGAGAAGTCAGACAAATTGTCTGGGTTGTTTCAGGGTTTATTTGTTGTAGTGCTTACTGGCTATGATCATTCCCTATTTATTTCACACAGCTACTGAATTCCAGTTCATTAAAGATATTTAGTCAGCTATTTATTTCAACAGGACCTGCTAGGAGTTATGCATGTGCTCAGATGTTCTTCTGAATCAGTCTTCGCTTGGAGAGCTGTCAGGGACAACCTTTGGGAGTAACTGCAAATAACTTATGATTATATCTAAGTCAGATCCTTATGTATTTATGTACTACACTAAGGCAATTTGTCCTGCCTCTGGCTGTCTGCATCCTTGGCATTTGGTCATAAAAGCATGTTCAAAACAGTGTCCTCTGTACCCTCATCTTTTTAAAGTTAACCCTACCTGTTGCATTTTTTGAATTTTCTTTTCTTGGTCTAGGAGGTCAAGGCTAGCAGAATCTCACAACATCCATCCAAGATCCATGGTAAGTTCTGGGAACAAATTGATGTGTTTTTCCTTTTTCTCATTTCAGCTTAATAAAATCTTCCCTTGTGCAAATTCTCAGCAAATAACAATTTGACATTTTCCAGATGATGCGGGGATAAAAACTGGGGGTCTGTTCCTTCTTTTTAAGTCAAAAAACTCAAGTAAAACCAGCTGGCAATTTTGCCAGCAGGAGCTGGACTCACATTTGTCTGAGTGAAATGGGCAGTGGGAGGAGAAATGGAACCATGCTTCCAAAGAGAAAACCTGAAGGGGCAAATCTAAAAGAAGAACCTGTTCCTCTAAAAAAACTCAGAGGTGGTGAGTGTGGTTTCACAAACTCTGCTCGCAGCAGAGCATCTGAAGGGCCTGCTCAGGTGTCTTGCTGAACTGCTACCAATGCTGATGCCTTTGAAGGAAGAGCTTGTGATCAACAAAATTCTGTGGTGTTGAAATATGTCTCTTTCAGTGAATCTGACTCCTGCCTCAACATGTCCATGTGGGTCTGCACACAAGGTTCATGAAGTGATAACTCACAGATGAAGCTGATGTATCAGTCTTAACTTACACACGGCCTTTTCTCTCCTTTTTTTTGCAGAGGGTAAAGGATGTGGCCTTATCTTGGGCACTCCCTGACTCCTGTCAGTTGGTGTCACAACTTGGAATGTTATTTCAATCCAATTTCCTTTATCTGAAAGTATTTATGTGAGCAGATAAAGCATTAAGCCTTTATCCTAAAGTGCCCTGCTCCACTTTAGTGCTCCAGATAACACTGACTTGTGCTGGAGCTGCCACTCGATGGACAGGAAATCAATTCTCTCCCCCATTCTCTGCTTCATCTTTCATGGTGGATAATGGGGACGTGTGTGTGATGCTACTGACAGACCTCAGGATGCAGTCCATTAAGAGGTTAAAGGGAATCTCATCTTCAAAATGTAGAAATCTGCTTTTTTTTCCCCCTGCTGTATTTATTTGAGGTGGGGAGAAGAGTGGGACAGTTCAAACCGGTGTTTACTGTTACTTCTCTCACTCTTCTCACCTCTCATAAAGAGCTTACTCAAACAGGCATGTTAATGTAGCTAAGAGAAAGTACTGTTCAGCATAATTGAAATGTCAAGAACTGTCTTGAAGTGGAATACATGAGATTTATGGATTTGAAATACAAAACCATGAACTGAAATGCAGTCAAGTGCTTTCTAAGACTGACAGAGCCATTTTTAGGAGGAGGCAGAAGAGCTGGGAATGGAGTGAAGCTGATGCTGGAAGGAGTGAGGAGAAAGGTGTTTTTAGTTTTGCCTTTGTTTCTCACTATTTTACCCTATTTTTAAATTGACAATGTATCAAACGATTTTTCCCCAAACTGAGTCAGGTGTTTTTTTGTTTTTTGTTGGTTTTTCATTATTATTTTTAAATTTTTTTTTAATGTGACAATAATTGTTAAATGATCTCACTGTCCTTATCTCAAGCCATGAGATTTTTAACCTTTAAATCTTCCCCTGCCCTACTGAGGAGGGGGAGTGAGAGAACTGGGGGCTGGGTGGTCTCTGGAAGTTATCTGTACCTGTAGCTGACACCACAGCCACCCATGCACCCCCTGAAGTTAGTGCTAGAAATCTCCATAACAAGTTCTGGAAAATTAATCCAGATTTGTGGACTGGGGGATGGGAAGTTAGATTAAATTGTCACATGCAAAAGAACTTCTGGACACAGAGGTTCTTATGGGTGCACTTTGTTTTATGAATGTCCCTGATATAGGAAGAAGGACATGACTCATGTAAGCTCTGGTGGAAACAAAAAGAGGAAAACATGCCTCCCTATATAGGGATATACATACATCCCTATATATGTAGGAATTTTTGCCTTTGAGTTATAACTAGCAATTAAAGAGAAACAATTAAAAATATTGTTGGATGGAATCACAAGCTTAAGAAATATTTTTAAGAAGTGAACACTGACTCACCTTCCTTAATCATCTGAATGATGTAAGTGCCCTTTCAAGTTAGTGGAGATAAAGGAATACTTTCAGCATTTAATAAATCTGATCTACCTCTTGGAAAAAAAATAGTGAGGCAAATTTTCCAGGCTGTACAATGAACCTCGGGAACATGCTGCCATTGGAGGGCACACAGTGTCTGCAAGCAGAGTAGAGGCTTAGATGAATTTATGGACAAAACGGATATTACAGGGAATGGTCAGGGCTGTGTCTTCCATTGTCCCTAATCCAGTGACCTTGGACACTGGTAGTGTACAAGAGCAGTGGCCTGCAGAAAATGTCCAGAGCTTTTCCTAGCAACATCCCCTAATGCTGCTGCCACAAGCAAAGCTCTGCACTCTAAAGGATGTTTCTTGTACTTCAATACTGCCTGTGGCCCCAGGCATTACTCCTCCATTTCCACCTGGCTCTGGGTACTGCTCCCTCTCCTGCTCCCCCTCCCTGGTCCAACTCCTGTACATGCCACAGGGGAAAAATAGAAACTGGGATATGAGGACAGGTAAGAACTGATGAACAGACATTACTAAAGAATAGACACTGTATTTTTTTGTCCTTTTCTCCTAGGATACTCTCTGAGGTTACTCTGTTTGGAGAAACATCTAATTGTTGTTTTAATCAGTTAGAAAAGAATGATATTTTGTTGTACTGATAACTGGGAAAGTTTTCTACCTACCAGCCTTGAATATTATACTCAGCCTTGAATATCTCAGCCTTGAATATCTCAGCCTTGAATTTTTCTTCCAAAGAGTTAATAAGCACAGCTCTTATTACTAATGCTGTGTAAAGAACAAAGAGCCACTTAAGGGGCACTTCTGTTTTATGGCCAAAAGAGGAATAACTAGAGCTGAACTAAAGAGGTTTATTCAGTTGGAATGGAAATAAATCTGGAATAATCCAGACCACAAAGGCCATACATCTCAACCATTGCTCAAAGGTGCAGCAGTGCAGCTGGGCAGCTCCTCTTGGTGCAGGAACACAAATTCTGTAGTAAGGGCAGGTTGCAGGGGTGTATTTAGCTCACCTGCCTTGAAACCCTGGCATGCTGGAAGGAGGCATCTGAGATAGTGCTTCAGAAGCCTTTTATAGTCAGTGGGAGAAACAGGTGCTTCTGAGGTGTAATTTGTCCAAGGTACTTCCCACCTTTCTGCTGGGCTGAGCCTTATGGAGATGAAGAAGTCTGCCTGAGGGGTGCCTACGGCTTGGCCAGAGAAATCCCTGCTCTGAGGACTGAGTCAACATTGTGCATTGGATATAGCAAAAGTAGGGAGAGACAAGATAAAGCAGTCATGGAAAATGCCACCAAGATTCCTTCCCATGCGTTGAAAATTTAATTTTTGGGCTTGCCATTTTAGGCAGTATTTCCATTTCAAAATAAATATATATAGAAAGAGGTTTATAAAAGGACTGAAATAGCCTGAAAAGAAAACAAGTTTCTAACTTAGACTGAGCAATTATTTTCATTTGGCACAAAGCTCACTTTTCTAATTTCATTTCTCCTAATAATAATAAAATAGTATTTGGGCTGAACGACACTGAGGTGATTGTTTGGGCTTAATCACCACACCAAATAGAAAGAAGTGTCCCAAACCTTTACTTGCTTTTAGACATTAATTTTCCTCCATCAGTGGGAAATAGCTCTTATTACAATGGTAATATCTTATTTTCTGATTTTGCTTCTGATGATAAATAAATTGCCATACTGGGGACCCAATCTTCATGCAATGTCCTTGATGCCTCCTTTTTGCCCTACGTCATGTGTAGATGTTTTAACTGTCACATGAAGCCCCTGAAAGTGCACAAGTGAGGGAAGAGGGTGAAGCTCTGGAAGGATGCTTAAGAATTGAGGTCAGCTGATGACAGCAACTTTTCCTTGGATTTTCTGGTTCTGCCTATGGCATGGAAATAGAGATGTGTGAACAGCTGTCCATGATGTATTTTGAATCCTGCTGACTTTCAACACAGAAAGCAATATTTTGGTGGTATAAGTAAAACAAAATTTGCCAAAATTTTGTTTTGCTGATGTCTTATGAAATTAAACAGACGAATCCTTCATCTAGAATTTTTAGAGTAAACAAATTAAACCCTGATATAAAGTTGGGGTTTATCTTTTGAAGGGAAATATATTTTTGTACAGTTTTTTAAGGTTGTGTTTTCTGGAAGACAATTTTTTTCATAAATTCCACTTTCTGGAGGTAAAAAAAAGACATTTTGAGTTATTTCCAAACCCAGAAATTAATTGATTTAGGAATGCTGCTTTGTTGTCTTGTCAGATTTTGTAGCTGAAATGCATAGTTTTTCCTTTCTTTTTGAGCTGAGCTCCCCTGCTGGCTCTCTCTTTCCTCACCACTCCTGGCAAGGTCTGTGACATTGCCTCTCTGAATCTGAAGAGGAGAGGGGAGAAAGCAGGTCACTGTGGGTGATGGAGGATGTTGTGCATGTAGAAAAATGTGTTATTAAAAGAAATTCAAAGGATGAGGGTCAAGCTGCATCAAGATTGCTTTTGAAAATATAAATATCCATTTTTCACCAAAGTATTTAATTTTTAAATCACTATATCAGAAGTATGCATTTCCCCTTTTTTCTCTACCATTTTTAAATCATCATTCATAATAGGGACTTTAACACTTTCAATAATGGAGAAGGCAGCACAGCTCTTTCTGGGGCTGAGCAGGAGTCTGTGTAGAAGATTATTCCTGTCACACTTCAACAATGTTTCTTTTAGCAGTGATGAAATGGTGGACCTCCTTCATTTTTCTGTGAAGAAATGTGGAATAACAACAGTTCTTAAAACTCCACAGACCTTTTGAGGTTTATACTGAGCTCTGGTGAGTCAGTCAGGGCAGCTTTATCTGCATCAGTCACTGATACCACTCAGAAACATATTTCATAGGAAACAGGCCAGGGCCAATCCACTGCAGTTTGTGATGGCCAGCCAGAATTCACCTCAGCTCTGAAAAGCCCGAAGAGAATCTTAGTGCCAGATCTTCATTCCTTAGAAACATCAGATGTTTTGCATTGACATGGAACAAATTCACTTTTAAAATCCAAGTCTCTTTGTGAATTAGTTAAAACTGTGAATTTATCTGCTTGTCGTTTTTGTTACTTTGGGAAGTCATTAGGAGCGAGTTCATCTGACTCTTAACTCCAGGTAGAGGGATCAAGGATCAGCTCCTTAATACAGTCCCTGTTGTTCTAAAATTAATAAATGTCCTTAGAAAACACTATAACTTCTTCATTGGGAAACTAGTTATATTTGTGGATAACCCAAAGAGGTTTGCCAAGAACTACTATGTTTTATACTTTTCTAATTAAGAAAATTAGGGTGTGCTGTTTCCACATGACAGAAATCAAGACCATTCAATACATTATGTACCTACTTTCCTGTTTCTCACTAGTTGGATGATTTTTATAGATGCTTTTGACTGTATTATTCATTATCTACCAGTTGCATTTTCAGCATTTTATTACAGTTTGATAGACTAAACAGCTGTTTAAATGCAAGTATATATTTTTCTTGGTCTTTGTTCAGAGCTGCTTTAGCTCTTGTGAAGAACTGATTTCCAGCTGGGAGCCAAAGCAGTTTGAAATGTCTGCAGCAGACAGCTGAGGATACAGTTTAATTAGCCTACTTTGATCTTCTCTATGGTGGCTGATGATTTACTACAGCTTGCAGCATGGTGAGGCAATTATATTCATGGTCATTATGACAGCATCCTTTGAGCCAGAGTTACTGTAGAAGTAAGATTAATTATAATGGGATTTTGTGGGGCCCAGAAGCCAAGATAAAGTAATATTATATTCAGAATATTGCAATAAAGGAGGACTTCATAATCAAAATATTGTGTAAAACTTTGGCCTGGATAAGGTTAATTGCAAAACTCTTTGTAACTTTAGAGAGGAATTTACTTGGAGGCTGGGCCAGACATAGAGTAACTTGGGCAATTTTCTGGAAGATCATAACTGTGTCCTCTTTGGCTGATGCCACTGTCAGCCCAGGATATGGTAGCATGTCCTGGTAGTGCTGTTATTCATTGCCTTCAGAACTGTATTCTTTCTTAAAGAAACACAGAGGAAAGTTTTACAGAACATGGTCGGGTACATTGATAACTTGAGCACTTTTCTTTCTTTGACCTTTGTTTTTTACTGACAGCGCTGCTAGAATATTGTCACCCATTGCTGAACCAGGCTTTAGGGGAGGACCTTTCCTGACATCTGTTGTCCTACCCCACCTTCCAGGGATCACCTCTCCATGATCTGGTGCAGTCTTACTGTTTTACAGGCATTTTGGGTCCACAAATCCCAGCAGTGTTCAGTTTACAGATGGCAGCAAGTTCAGGGGAAACCAATGTCAAATTGCAAGACATCATACAAATATCCCATGTTGAAGTGCTGAAAACATGGAGACTTATCCTCTAAAGTCAAGCTTTGGGGAAATTACTGAAATGAACAGGCTAGATAAGGCCATAAAGAGGACCATTATGGTGATTTTTCTCTGGATGTTTATATATTCATATAAAAAGAATATATTTTTTGTAAGTAATCAAATACTATAGCTGCTATAGGAAAGGAGAAATGAACAAGGCTTCTCTGCAGCTCACATGTAGGCAAGTACTCACCTTTGCCACCCAAGGGAAAAAAGACTATGTGATTTAGTGCAATTCTTGGCTTTGGTTTGTTTTTTGTTTCATCCAGCCTTTCTGCAGGTTTCTCCACTAAAACAGGCTGCTGGTGAGTGCCAGACCTTGCCTTGGTGGCTGTGTTTTGTCCTGCTGTGTGGTGCTCTCTGCCTCAGCATTGACGTGCTAACACAAACCTCAGCATCCTGCGGCTTGTGCTGCAGTTGGACACAGCTATTTCTGTCCCTGTCCCCACAAGTAGTGCCAGCCCCTCTCAGCAGAAGTGCTGGCCATGGGAAGGGGTTGTTCCCCTCCCTCCTGCCTGCTGCTTTTCAGCTGTCAGCTGCCCAAGATGAACCATTGCCTCTCGGGGAGGGAGCTGCCCTCCCTGACCACGCTGTTTTCCCAGGAGCTGCTGTGCTGTGTGCTTACTCATCAGCGTGCTACTCTCTCCTCTCAGTCACTGATAGCAGGTGGCTTAGCAGGGTTTAAGGCCAAAGATGAAAGGGCCATAAGGAGTGAAATGCAGGAGTCCCACTGCCTCACTGCCCAGGCAGTGGGGTGGCAAGCTTTCCTCTCCCGCTGTCTGGGCTGGACAGCTATATTGCAAATTTTTTGGCTTTGCCCATTCATACTACTTCATTCAGAACAAGCGAAAATCTCAAAGCTTCTGCCTTTGACTGCTTTCAATTAAATGCCTGAGAGGAATCCTTTGTCTTCAACATTTCAGACCACATGAGCAGTCATGGGTTAAAACCTCCCCAGGCAGACGGGAGCTGCCCCAGTCAGTGACCCTCGGATAATGAGGTCACGGGGAGATTTCAGAGCCATGTGTTTGTCCCTGCCCAGGTGCTTTGAGGATGTGTAGACATGTGTCAAGGATATGTCAAAGCTCATGGACACTTCTGCAAAGCTCAAGCCTTTCCGAAGTGACCCGCTTACCAGACACTGCCCTTCCATCTGTCTGAGCAGGGCTCATGTGGCAGCTCAGACCAGGCTCCTGAAGTGATTTTATTTACAGTTTGTTTCTTTCCTTATCAGTGTTAAAGAGGAATATTACTGCATTCCTTCTATAGCTCTTGTCTTTTAAAGGATACAACTAAAATGGTTATTAGAGTTTTTTATTAATTTATTAATTGTTATTGGAGTTTTTTAGGATTTTTTTTTTCATTTTTCTATTTTTTTTTTCTTGTTGTTTCTGGTAACTCCCATTGTCTGTGACCAACATTTATCTTTTTTCTTATCAGCTGTTGATACAGATGAGTTGCTGTTGCAGTACATTTATACTGCATTGCTTTGTGGGATTGCCCTCTTGTTTTCTTTGGCTTTTACTTTTGCCAGATCTTAAAATGAGAAGAGACCTCTGTGCACGAGGGCTGGCATTCCTGTTTTGAGGGTATTAAATGCAATTTAAATAAATCCTGTGATGTGGACAAAGGAGCTCAGTGCACTCTGCAAAAGTTGCAGGCTGCAAGTGTCACCTAAGTGTCTCCATCACTTCAGGCTGGGTGCTTAAATAGTCAGGATTTCCAAATGTACCCAAATCCTGGCTCCTACTGCTTATATCACATCTTGTGAAGCCAGGTCTATGATGCTCCAGTTCTTGGAAAGGACTCAAACCCTGTGCTCCATATAGGAGTGGGCAGGGGGGATTTACACATTGCCCTAAATTTAATGCCTCCTATCAGCTTTTGACATACCTAGATATGCAGCCTTATAGGGGCTGCCTGAGTGCTCAGCACTGATTTTGGGTGTCTCTCTGGAGATTGTTCTCTGACATTGCCCAGGATAGAAGGTGGTGACACAAGACAGCTTGCCCAGCCAGGAGTCAGATCTCTTACAGAAGTGGTGCTCAACTGGATCTGAAGCCCTTCCTCTTTACAAACAGAAAAATCTGAAGGAGCTTTAGCAGGATGAAATTAGAGTTTTACAAAGTTAGTAAGTATTTTTCCAGACTTGCCTGGAGGTGGAATATGGACTATCATCATTTCTGTAAACAGCCTCTGCTCCTGCTCTGCTCCGGTGACAGCTCTCATTTTTCACTCCTTGGAGACAGGGTGTCCCTCAGGGTCCTCCACATACTATTTGAAAGCCAGAGATCTCCCTCCTTCTCCTCTGTCTCTGTTGCAACTGGTAACTTTTGCAAGACCTTTGCAGATCCCTACCTTCCCTACTGCCAAATGTTAGTTGGGGGCTGAAACTCCTCATGCCGGTCCCAGCGAGGGAACACGGTCTCACAATATAATGATAATAATTATTCTTCAAATTAGACTGCACTCTGCAGATTTTCTCATTGCTTTGCTTCTCTGTTGGCTGAGTGCCTGAAATAAGAAAGCCAGAGGCTGTCTGCAAGACAGTACTACATCTCATTTTAAAAACCATAACTCATCTTTTTTTTCCTTTTTCCTTTTTTTTTTTTCAGTGAAAACTTCTGAAGAACCCCGTGGTTTTGACCATATTTTCTAGATCTATTGGATTGTAAAAGAACAAATGAAAAACATTCACAGGAAGGTGTTGTGAGAATGGGTAACTATTACATGCCTGCAAGGTGACAAATTCTGGCTACTGTGTGCACATGAAAGGAGTAGGAAAAGAGAGTGGAGACCAGTCCAAGAGCATGAACTGGTATGGAGCCAGGTGGTTTTGCTTGGTGCATGGGTAGCTCTACAGTGGGAAGAAAATTGTTCCTTTTGGCCCCTGCTTGATGATTTGAATTAGTTTGATTTTTTCAGGTGCCAAACCCTGCTGGAGGGGGACACTGTTGTAAATGTAGAAGGGATGGGGAGAGAGATACTTTGTAAGATGCTTCCAGTACATCTGGTTTTCTGGAATGAATGTATCATCCATTAGGATGGTGCTGCCAGTTTTTTCTTATTTATTCATTATTTTTATTTATTTCATGGGTATCTTTTATTTCATGGGGTTCAGTGTTGAAGCAGAACTAGCTCTAACCAGTGCCTTGTAAGTACCTGAATTCTGTAGGTTCCACATCTCTCTTCATAGAGGATTAATGCTATGGTTGAAGCATAAAGCAGCCTTTTGGGTACAACATCCCAAAATCTCCCACAGCAGGCACAGTTTACAGAAAATTTGCTAAATCAACAAAATCTTTGTAGATCTAGCGTGCAATCACCTTTATGCCAGATCCTTGCATCTTTTCCATCCACACACAATTTGAGAGTTCTCTACAAGCTGTCTTTATTATCCCAGAGGATTTTATAGCTGATTATCCCAAAGGATTTTTTGAGATCTTAGGGTTTTATTGTTTTGTTAAATTGTTCTGTGCAAATTGTTATTATAATTTCCAAGGAGGAAAAGCCTGTGTAATTATACTGTCTGTCTGCAATTCCTGAAGTCATGAGCTGATTTGATTCAGATAAAATCTGAAGAGCTCAGTCATGGTCTTTTCTGCTTGGCAGCACCTGGGTAGCAAAGTGGCAGGTATGGACTGGAGGGTGTCAGAGCACTGCAGCAGATGCTGCTTCTGCCTGAAGAGTTGTTGCAGAAGAAAGGGACATAGAACTGACATTTAGGGTGAAAATACAATCAGTAAACTCTTTAGCACAACACTGAATATGAGCAGATGAAATTAGATACCTTAAGGCCACTTTTATTCAAAATAAGTGTAGAAATACCAGAAAGGATGTGATAGAAATAGATGTGAGGGAAAGATAAAATAGGGAGAACAACTAACCCTTTTTTTATTTTCTCTCTTCCTTGAACACAATGATATATGATAGCTTCTCTTCCATAATAGGATAAATATTTTCCTGCATCTGGTACAGAGATTCTGTTTTTCCCAAGGAGATGTTATAAAACCAACATCATCTAATGATTTTTGCAGCCTGGGCCATTCAGACAATGAACACTTGTCAGTTTAATGAAGGTGCCAGGGCTTTAACAATCAGTGAGTGAATTCCAGCAATGTTTTGGACAGGTTCCTGCTTCCAGTTGGCATTCACTCTCCTGTCTTATTCTCTGCTTGGACTCTTGCATAGGAGTAAGGAATCAAGCCATTACTGATTTTTAAATCTGGTTCCCTTTGGCACCAGTTGCACTTCAGCTGACTTCTACAAACAAACAAAACATTTTTCAGAGTTCTGTGGAAATTTGGAAGGAGTCTCCCATTCCTCATTGACTGTACTTTGAAAATAAGTATACTGCTGAAGTTTCCATAATTAGGGGATTAATATTTGACTCTGACATTTCTATTTACGCTAATAAATAGGTATGAAAAAATGCTGAATGGCTCCCAACAGCTGTTTTTAGGGTTTGAGTGCTCAGTTCCTAAGAAAAAGAGAGAGTTTTATCTACATGTGTAGGTCTAAAGGAAGATGTGAAAAGAGAGAGTTTTATCTACATGTGTAGGTCTAAAGGAAGATGTGTGTATGCTGAGTGTCTATATTTAAAACTTTGGCCATTGTTCTATTTCACACATTCTAATAGGTAAGGATATTCCAGCTGCCAGTCTCATGAGTCTGATGCTAAGAGCATGCTAACATCATGGTCTAGAGTTGATTAATTCCAGTTCTGTTCCAATAAGGAAATAAGAAGGTTGTGGTCGCTTTCAGATCTTTGACTTTCTACTTGGTTTTCCATATCACCTTTTTTCAGCAGCCCAAATGCTGTACATATTCCTGTAACTATCATCATAAGAACTTTTCATCAGGGTGAAAAAAGCACAATCTGTCTGCAGTACAAACTAGCAACATGTTATACCCCTCTCAGCAGACAATCCAAATCTACCCAAAACTTTATGGGCTGCCACAATTGCTTCATGGACAGAGATAATGGGATTGGTACAGCAGAAAGGGTTGTGCCATGGTGAAAATGGGATGCATGTGGTAAAGTGTTTGAAATCATATAAAAAATTTTAATAAGATTTCTCTGGAAGATATTTGAGAATAAAGCTAGAGCATTGATTCAGAAAGGCTGAGATTGTAAGGTGCCAGAACAATCCGCTGTGCTGTGAGATTTCCATGGAAGACATCCAAAACCTATGATCCAATCAGTAACATGTGATTGCCTCCTGCCTGAAGACAGAAACTACTGATTCGGGGTCCAGCTTTTCTTCCTGATTTCCAATAAGCCAGGAAGTGATGTGGGCCAAACGGTCAAGGGCTGAGGAGCTATTTTAATGAGGATCACAAGCTGATGCCAAGCCAGCATAAGGATTCCCAAAAAGTGGTATGTCAGATGGAAATGTGCACATCCTGAAGGAGTTACTGAAAATATGTGGTGGCTTTGGAAGATGTAGGCTCTAGGGAGACTCTGGGTTTTCCATCCTCTGGAGATATTCAGAACTTTACTGGAGAGTTCTCTGAATCCAAATTTGAATTTAGCCCTGTTTTTCAGCCAGCTGCTGGACTAAATGATCTGCAGATGTCCCTTCCAAAATTTATAATATTAATCTTCTTTTATTTTGTGTGTATGTGTAATTTCCTGGGTTGTCTAAGCTGTAGCCTAGTCATCTTGGTCAGTAGTAAAGTGCCACAAAGCCACCTATAAAGAAGTTAACAAATATTTCTCCATAGTGGGTTTCAGGTAAAAATATGTTAAAATGGGAAGGGGAAAATTACAAAAAGTTTTGTAAGTAGTCAGTTTGACAGCTGGGAGAAGAATAAAAAGTAACTGAACAGGACATACTTTGGGAATTAGGTCACCATGTTCAGTCTTTCAATTTTCCCTATCACATCTCTACTGTAGTCACCTTTATACAGAGCACACATGATGTAATCCAACCAGGGCCTTGGGAGAATGGATGAGCTCAGTGCTTTTCCAATTGTATTTTCTCTGGCATTGCTCAGAGTGGGGCATTTCTACAGCTGATGTCTCCACTGGACCTCCACACAGCAAGACAAAACAGCTGAGTGCTTTGGGTCACTAAGGCTCTTTGTTGTACAAATAACAGCTTAATGAACGTTTCCAGGGCAGAAAAAAACACAACTGGATCTATTTGTTTGGAAATGTTGATAACTGTGTTTGTCAGAAAGTCAGTGACTGTTGAAAGTATCTTGTCTGTTTCACTTGTTTCCCTGAGATTCATAGGTTACAAGTTTGGAAGGCACAATCGTGCTGATCTAGACCAATGTCCTATGTAACCCGCATTGCAGGACTTCACTGAAAGCATTCTCATTTTCCCTCATCTCTTTTGGGAAAGACAAATCATGATGGAAGTGTTCCCAGTGAAAAAAGTCCAGTAAACTGTGTTTAGTTTTTCAATAGCTACTTGCTTTTCTGGTGAAAAATCTATGTATTTGTTTTCTAGCTTGTCTTGTAAGCTTTAAGCTATCAGAACTTTGTTAAACATCTGAGGAAGTTTCCATCATCTGCTCTTGCTCCTTATGGAGGCTGTCACTAATGCAATGATCCCATGACTCCTTCAAAGTTTCACCTGGTAGGGGTAAATGTCTACATTTTCTGTCTCTGGGTATATTACATAGTGCAAGTTTCCTGCATTACTCAGATGATATTCACTCTGTACCAAAAGATTGTCCTACCCAACTGGTTTTTTTTTTTTTTTTTCCAAACTTGTGTGTTTGGTACATGTTTTTTAAGGTGCTTTCCTTGATTTATTAAGATGCCTGTGACCACCAGAGCTTACAGAAATGGGAACATGCTATGGCTGCTCTTATTCCTGCTGGACTTGGCAGTTTGAGCAGTTGTGGCCTATAAAGAAGGGCAAGGGGCCTGACAGGAATGAACCCCTGCCCTAATTTCAGGGTTGTCTTTGCAGATGAAAGAAAGTCTTGCCAAATTTCTTAAACATTCAAGCCTTGATGAAGTTCTACTCAGTCCTCATGACCAAAAATGGTCATTGTTTCAGGGCAGGAAGTCCAAAATCTTTGGGAATCACTGCTGGAGCTCATACAAGGCTGTCTGGGAACAGGTAGCTGTGAGCTTTCCCTCTTACCCTGGTCTGTGCCTGAAGATTTTTTTTTTCAAAGCTTCAGCCATTTCCCCAGATCTATTCTTGGAGTTGTTATCCCAGTAGTGAGAATAATACATTTACAACTATTGTAATTTATTTTTTCAGAAGAACTAGGGTAGCTGTACTTTATTCCTTCTGTGCAATTCCTTTAAGTTTGCCTTTGGGTCTTGCTTAGATTTGTTTCCAGGCTTGTAGGAGATAAAGAGCACTTACCTTTGCTCTAGAGAGAAACACAAGGAGGAAAAATCAGGTGAGGAGCTGCTACTTCTTGGCCAGAGGAATATCTCCTTTGGGATGCAAAGGGCAGGGCTTGTAGGTAGCTGTTTTTGGGGTTCACTCTTGCCTGAACAAATCTGTGTGAGAGGTAGGAAGGTGCTCAGCAGCAGAAAGAACAGTGCCTGGAGGCACAGGCAGCTTCTGGGGAAATGGGCACCCTTCAAAGTGGTGCTTAGAACTCCTGGGTTACCTGTAGGGTTATAGAAATAATAAAGCTTAGATGAGAAATCTTTTCTACAGGGAAAACTATAGAAGCTGATGAAAAAAAAAGTAAAGTGTAGTTGCTTAAGAAATCTCTTAGAGTTCTTTATATTGGTGTCTCCCACTCCCTGTTATTTTTTAATTTGAGTTTTTAACATAAGACTTGATTAAATAATCACAGCCAGATGGTGAAATCAGCATTGTGAAGAGGTGTCAA